ACCACAACCTAAAGTTCAAACACAACACAAAATCAAGTTCAACAAACCCACAAACTCAAGTTCAAAAACACTACAAACTTAAGTTCAAACACGACACAAACTCAAGTTCAACACACACACTTACTCAAGTTCAACCAACACCTGGTTTTCAAGTTTAACAATTTACACAAACTTAAGTTCAAAAACACAAAAAGCTCAAGTTCAACCAATACCCAATTATCAAATTTAACAATTTCCCCAACATCCATTTCAAAAACACCACAAACTCAAGTTCAAAAACACCACAAACTCAAGTTTAACCAACACCCAATTCTCAAGTTTAACAAATTCCACACCCTCAAGTTAAAAAAATCCACATACTCAAGTTCAAAAACAACACAAACTCAAGTTCAAAAACAACACAAACTCAAGTTCAAACAAAACACAAACTCAAGTTCAACAAACACACAAACTCAAGTTCAAAATCACAACAAACTCAAGTTCAAACACGACACAAACTCAAGTTTAAGAAACACACAAACTCAACTTCAACCAACACCTGATACTACGGTTTAACAATTTCCACAACCTCAAGTTCAAAAACAACAGAAACTCAAGTTCAAAAAACAAACAAACTCAAGTCCACCAAACACGCAAATTCAAGTTCAAAAACACCACAAACGCAATTCAAACACGACACAAACTCAAGTTCAACAAACACACAAACTCAAGTTCAACCAACACCTGATTCTAAGGTTTAACAATTTCCACAACCTCAAGTTCAAAAACACCACAAACTCAAGTTCAAAAAAGCCACAAACTCAAGTTCAAAAACGACACAAACTCAAGTTTGAGAAACACACAAACTCAAGTTCAACCAATACCTGATACTAAGGTTTAACAATTTCCACAACCTCAAGTTCAAAAACAACAGAAACTCAAGTTCAAAAAACAAACTCAAGTCCACCAAACACGCAAATTCAAGTTCAAAAACACCAAAAACTCAATTCAAACATGACACAAACTCAAGTTCAAAAACAACACAAACTCAAGTTCAAAAACACTACAAACTCAAGTTCAAACACAACACAAACTCAAGTTCAACAAACACACAAACCCAAGTTCAAAATCACCACAAACTCAAGTTCAAACACGACACAAACTCAAGTTTAAGAAACACACAAACTCAAGTTCAACCAACACCTGATACTAAGGTTTAACAATTTCCACACCCTCAGGTTAAAAAAAAACACATACTCAAGTTCAAAAACACATAAACTCAAGTTCAAACACAACACAAACTCAAGTTCAAAAACACTAAAAACTCAAGTTCAAAGACAACACAAACTCAAGTTCAACAAACACACAAACTCAAGTTCAACAAACACACAAACTCAAGTTCAAACACGACACAAACTCAAGTTCAACAAATACCACAAACTCAAGTTCAAACAAAACACAAACTCAAGTTCAAACACGACACAAACTCAAGTTTGAGAAACACACAAACTCAAGTTCAACCAATACCTGATACTAAGGTTTAACAATTTCCACAACCTCAAGTTCAAAAACAACAGAAACTCAAGTTCAAAAAACAAACTCAAGTCCACCAAACACGCAAATTCAAGTTCAAAAACACCAAAAACTCAATTCAAACATGACACAAACTCAAGTTCAAAAACACCACAAACTCAAGTTCAAAAACACTACAAACTCAAGTTCAAACACAACACAAACTCAAGTTCAACAAACACACAAACTCAAGTTCAAACAAAACACAAACTCAAGTTCAAACACGACACAAACTCAAGTTTGAGAAACACACAAACTCAAGTTCAACCAATACCTGATACTAAGGTTTAACAATTTCCACAACCTCAAGTTCAAAAACAACAGAAACTCAAGTTCAAAAAACAAACTCAAATCCACCAAACACGCAAATTCAAGTTCAAAAACACCAAAAACTCAATTCAAACATGACACAAACTCAAGTTCAAAAACAACACAAACTCAAGTTCAAAAACACTACAAACTCAAGTTCAAACACAACACAAACTCAAGTTCAACAAACACACAAACTCAAGTTCAAAATCACCACAAACTCAAGTTCAAACACGACACAAACTCAAGTTTAAGAAACACACAAACTCAAGTTCAACCAACACCTGATACTAAGGTTTAACAATTTCCACAACCTCAAGTTCAAAAACAACAGAAACTCAAGTTCAAAAAACAAACAAACTCAAGTCCACCAAACACGCAAATTCAAGTTCAAAAACACCACAAACTCAATTCAAACACGACACAAACTCAAGTTCAAAAACACAAAAAACTCAAGTTCAACCAATACCCAATTCTCAAGTTTAACAATTTCCACAACCTCAAGTTAAAAAAAACCACAAACTCAAGTTCAATAGCACCAAAAACTCAAGTTCAAACAAGACACAAACTCACGTTCAACAAACACAAAGAAACTAAAGTTCAAAAACACCACAACCTCAAGTTCAACAAACACCTGATTCTCAAGTTTAACAGTTTCCACAAACTCAAGTTCAAAAACACAAAAAACATAAGTTCAAACAAACCCAATTATGAAGTTTAACAATTTCCACAACCTCCATTTCAAAAACACCACAAACTCAAGTTCCAAAACACCACAAAATCAAGTTCAAACAGGACACAAACTCAAGTTAAACAAACGCCAAAACTCAAGTTCAAACACGAAACAAACTCAAGTTCAAAAAAACCAAAAACTCAAGTTTAACCAATACCCAATTCTCAAGTTTAACAAATTCCACACCCTCAGGTTAAAAAAAACACATACTCAAGTTCAAAAACACCACAAACTCAAGTTCAAACACAACACAATCTCAAGTCCAAAAACACTACAAACTCAAGTTCAAAGATAACACAAACTCAAGTTCAACAAACACACAAACTCAAGTTCAAAATCACCACAAACTCAAGTTCAAACACGACACAAACTCAAGTTTAAGAAACACACAAACTCAAGTTCAACCAACACCTGATACTAAGGTTTAACAGTTTCCACAACCTCAAGTTCAAAAACAACAGAAACTCAAGTTCAAAAAACAAACAAACTCAAGTCCACCAAACACGCAAATTCAAGTTCAAAAACACCACAAACTCAATTCAAACACGACACAAACTCAAGTTCAAAAACACAAAAAACTCAAGTTCAACCAATACCCAATTCTCAAGTTTAACAATTTCCACAACCTCAAGTTAAAAAAAACCACAAACTCAAGTTCAATAGCACCAAAAACTCAAGTTCAAACAAGACACAAACTCACGTTCAACAAACACAAAGAAAACTCAAGTTCAAAAACACCACAACCTCAAGTTCAACAAACACCTGATTCTCAAGTTTAACAGTTTCCACAAACTCAAGTTCAAAAACACAGAAAACATAAGTTCAAACAAAAACCAATTATGAAGTTAAACAATTTCCACAACCTCCATTTCAAAAACACCACAAACTCAAGTTCCAAAACACCACAAACTCAAGTTCAAAAAAGCCACAAACTCAAGTTCAAACACGACACAAACTCAAGTTCAACAAATACCACAAACTCAAGTTCAAAGAAAACACAAACTCAAGTTCAAACACGACACAAACTCAAGTTTGAGAAACACACAAACTCAAGTTCAACCAATACCTGATACTAAGGTTTAACAATTTCCACAACCTCAAGTTCAAAAACAACAGAAACTCAAGTTCAAAAAACAAACTCAAATCCACCAAACACGCAAATTCAAGTTCAAAAACACCAAAAACTCAATTCAAACATGACACAAACTCAAGTTCAAAAACAACACAAACTCAAGTTCAAAAACACTACAAACTCAAGTTCAAACACAACACAAACTCAAGTTCAACAAACACACAAACTCAAGTTCAAAATCACCACAAACTCAAGTTCAAACACGACACAAACTCAAGTTTAAGAAACACACAAACTCAAGTTCAACCAACACCTGATACTAAGGTTTAACAATTTCCACAACCTCAAGTTCAAAAACAACAGAAACTCAAGTTCAAAAAACAAACAAACTCAAGTCCACCAAACACGCAAATTCAAGTTCAAAAACACCACAAACTCAATTCAAACACGACACAAACTCAAGTTCAAAAACACAAAAAACTCAAGTTCAACCAATACCCAATTCTCAAGTTTAACAATTTCCACAACCTCAAGTTAAAAAAAACCACAAACTCAAGTTCAATAGCACCAAAAACTCAAGTTCAAACAAGACACAAACTCACGTTCAACAAACACAAAGAAACTAAAGTTCAAAAACACCACAACCTCAAGTTCAACAAACACCTGATTCTCAAGTTTAACAGTTTCCACAAACTCAAGTTCAAAAACACAAAAAACATAAGTTCAAACAAAACCCAATTATGAAGTTTAACAATTTCCACAACCTCCATTTCAAAAACACCACAAACTCAAGTTCCAAAACACCACAAAATCAAGTTCAAACAGGACACAAACTCAAGTTAAACAAACGCCAAAACTCAAGTTCAAACACGAAACAAACTCAAGTTCAAAAAAACCAAAAACTCAAGTTTAACCAATACCCAATTCTCAAGTTTAACAAATTCCACACCCTCAGGTTAAAAAAAACACATACTCAAGTTCAAAAACACCACAAACTCAAGTTCAAAAACAACACAAACTCAAGTCCAAAAACACTACAAACTCAAGTTCAAAGATAACACAAACTCAAGTTCAACAAACACACAAACTCATGTTCAACAAACACACAAACTCAATTTCAACAAACACCTGATTCTCAAGTTTAACAATTCCCAAAAACTCAAGTTCAAAAACACAAAAAACTCAAGTTCAACCAATACACATGTATGAAGTTTAACAATTTCCACAACCTCCATTTCAAAAACACCACAAACTCAAGTTCAAAAACACCACAGAATCAAGTTCAAACACGACACAAACTCAAGTTAAACAAAAGCCACAAACTCAAGTTCAAACATGAAACAAACTCAAGTTCAAAAACACCACAAACTCAAGTTTAACCAATACCCAATTCTCAAGTTTAACAATTTCCACAACCTCAAGTTCAAAAACACCACAAACTCAAGTTCAAAAAAGCCACAAACTCAAGTTCAAAAAACCCACAAACTAAAGTTCAAAAACAACACAAACTCAAGTTCAACAAACCCACAAACTCAAGTTCACCAAACACGCAACTCAAGTTCACCAAACACGCAACTCAAGTTCAAAAACGACACAAACTCAAGTTCAAACACGACACAAACTCAAGTTCACCAAACAAGCAACTCAAGTTAAAAAAAACCCACAAACTCAAGTTCAAAAACACCACAAACTCAAGTTAGAATAGAAGAATAGAATAGAATAGAATATTCCTTTATTGATCCCCCATGGGGGAAATTTTTTTGTCACAGCAGCATCACAGACAAGACAGAAAGTGCAAAATGCAGTTATAACAATAAGGGTCCTAATATTAAGAACTTAATAAATGTAATAATTAAGAAAAAAAAATTGAAAAGAGAAAAGGGAGAAGAAAAAATAAAGCTTTCTGCAATATACACAATTTAAATGCCATAAAAAAGTGGTGGTGTAAATCCAGTTTTGTTACTGTTCATTGTAAAGTCTTATTGCAGAGGGGAGGAATGATCTGCGGTAGCGCTCCGTCCTGCAGGGTGGGAGTCTCAGTCTGCTGCTGAAGGAGCTGCCTAAAGCCCCCACAGTCTGGTGCAGTGGGTGAGAGGGATTGTCCATGATGGATATAAGCTTTGTTAACATCCTCCTCTCACCCACCTCCTCCAGGGAGTCCAAAGAGCAGTCCAGGACAGAACCGGCCCTCCTGACCAGTCTATTCAGTCTCTTCCTGTCCCTCTCGGTGCTCCCTGCCCCCCAGCAGACCACTGCATAGAAAAGTGCAGATGTTACCACAGAGTCATAGAAAGTCCTGAGCAGAGTCCTGCACACTCCAAAGGACCTCAGTCTCCTCAGCAGGTGGAGACGACTTTGGCCCTTCTTGTACAGAACGTCTGTGTTTGTTGACCAGTCCAGTTTGTTGTTGAGGTGGACACCCAGGAATCTGTAGGACTCCACCATCTCGATGTCCAGACCCTGTATGTTCACTGGAACTGTTTGAGGTGTCCCCCTCCTGCGGAAATCCACAACCATCTCCTTTGTCTTACTGGCGTTGAGCTGGAGGTGGTTTGTGCCACACCAGTTGACAAAGTCAGTGATGACAGTTCTGTATTCCCGCTCGTCCCCTGACGATACACATCCAACGATGGCTGTGTCATCAGAGAACTTCTGGAGGTGACAGCTCCCAGAGTTGTAGCTGAAGTCTGAGGTGTACAGGGTGAAGAGGAAGGGGGAGAGCACTGTCCCCTGTGGAGCCCCCGTGCTGCAGACCACCATGTCCGATACACAGTTCTGAAGCCTCACAAACTGTGGTCTGTCGGTGAGGTAGTCCACGGTCCATGCGGCTAGGTGACAGTCCACTCCCGCCCGCTCGAGCTTCCCCCTGAGCAGTGAAGGCTGGATGGTGTTGAACGCACTGGAGAAGTCAAAAAACATGACCCTCACAGTGCTGCCAGTGTTCTCCAGGTGAGCCATGGACCTCTGCAGCAGGTAGATGACTGCGTCATCCACCCCGATGTTCGGCTGGTACGCAAACTGCAGAGGATCCAGATGAGAGCTCACCAGGGGGCGGAGGTTCCTCAGCACGATCCTCTCCAGAGTCTTCATCAGGTGAGAAGTGAGGGCCACAGGTCTGAAGTGGTTGGGCTCCCTAGGGTGCGCTGTCTTGGGGACAGGAATCACGCAGGAAGTCTTCCACAGTGTTGGGACCCTCTCCAGACTCAGGCTCAAGCTGAAGATGTGCAGTAGCACCTCACAGAGCTGGTCTGCACAGTCTTTCAGGAGTCTGGGGCTGATGCCGTCAGGACCCGTGGCTTTCCTTGGCTTCATCTTCCTCAGCTCACTTCTCACCTGGTCAGCTGTTATGGAGAGGCTGGGGGTGGTGCTGGAGGGGGTGGTGGAGGATGAGTGGAGGGGGTTGATGGTGTCGGTGCCATGGGACTGAGGTGGTGTGAATAAGAATAAGAAGAAGGAGGAGCAGCAGACGGGTCGTTGGTTAGATGAGTCGGGGGAGGAGTGGGAGTAGAGTCAAATCTATTGAAGAACAGATTCAGCTCGTTGGCCCACTCCCTGTCTCCTGCTTCAGATCCCCTCTCATGGCCCCTGCTATGACCTGAGATGGATTTTAGGCCTCTCCAGACCTCCCTTGCGTTGTTCTGTTGCAAAAGGTTTTCCATCTTGGTCTTGTAGCTGGCCTTTCCCTCTCTGATCTTCTTCTTCAACTCCTTCTGCACCCTCCTCAGCTCCTCCTTGTCCCCAGATTTAAAGACCCTCCTCTTCTCCTTCAGGAGGACTTTCAGTTCCGGGGTCACCCAGGGTTTGCTGTTGGAGAAACACCGTACTTTCCTGGTGGGTACGGTGTTCTCAACACAGAAGTTAATATAGTCCGTGATGCAGTCAGTCATGGTGTCGATGTCATCACCATGTGGGCCGCACAGTACATCCCAGTCTGTGGTCTCAAAACAGTCCTGCAGCGCCTCAGTGGCCTCCTCAGACCACCTCTTAACATACCTGATGGTGGGGGGTTGTTTCTTCACCATAGGTATGTAAATGGGCTGCAGTCTCACCAGGTTGTGATCTGAGCGGCCCAGCGGGGGAAGGGGGGAGGAGGTGTATGCATCCTTGGTGTTTGCATACAGTAAGTCCAGAGTTTTATTGTCTCTTGTTGGGCAGTTTACATACTGGCTGAAGGTAGGGAGAGTGGAGGACAGTGATGCATGATTAAAGTCTCCAGAGATGATGATCAGAGACTGAGGGTGTGATGTCTGTAGCTTGGACACTTCATTATGGAGGAGTTCACAGGCTGCAGCAGCCTCAGCCGAGGGGGGGATGTAAACAGTTAACGCGATGACGTGCGAAAATTCCCTCGGCAGGTAATAAGGCCGCAAACTCACAGCCAGCAGCTCAATGTCCTTAGAGCAGAGCTGCTCTTTAACACTGACGTGCCCAGCATTACACCATCTCTCATTCACATACACCGCTATCCCGCCTCCTTTCTTCTTACCACTCTCCCTCACGCTCCGGTCCGCTCTGACGAGGTGAAATCCGTCCAAAGTTACGAGCGGGTCCGGAGTGAGTTCGTTCAGCCATGACTCCGTGAACATCATGAGGCTACATTCCCTATACTCCCACTGCAGCCGAGTTAGCGCTGTGAGCTCTTCCATCTTGTTGGGGAGAGACCTCACGTTTCCCATGATGATGGACGGGACAGTTGGTTTGTAACGCCTCCGCTTTGCCCGATGCTGAACTCCAGCCCTGCATCCTCTCCTTCTCCTGTGGAGCTTAGCGGGGATGTCCGGTCTCTCCCACGAAGGTGGCCGGGCTTGGCGCAGCGCCAACAGCTGTTCACGGCTGTAAACAATGCGGCCGCTGAATGGGTCGCCGGTCGCGGACTTAAAAACTCCGAAAAATAAAAGAAAACAAAGTGCTAGAGTCATGAACTGCACATCCATGGCTGGAATATGCAGACACGACACTGCTGAATGAAGAGAAAGATAAAAAGGTGCAAAAAAACAACAATAAGAACGCAAAAACGTGAAGTCGTTGAGGAGCTGCTGTGACTTGCTGCCACTCTCAGGGCGCCCGAGTCAGACAAACATGTTCAAACATGACAAAAACTCAATTTCACCAAACACCAAAAACCCAAGTTCAACCAATACCCAATTCTTAAGTTTAACAATTTCCACAACCTCAAGTTCAAAAACACCACAAACTCAAGTTCAAACATGACAAAAACTCAATTTCACCAAACACGAAAAACCCAAGTTCAACCAATACCCAATTCTTAAGTTTAACAATTTCCACAACCTCAAGTTCAAAAACACCACAAACTCAAGTTCATAAAAGCCACAAACTCAAGTTCAAACAAGACACAAACTCAAGTTCCACAAACGCCACAAACTCAAGTTCAAAAACAACACAAACTCAAGTTCAACAAACACACAAACTCAAGTTCAAAAACACCACAAACTTATGTTCAAACACGACACAAACTCAAGTTCAAAAAACACACTAACTCAAGTTCAACCAACAACTGATTCTCAAGTTTAACAATTTCCACAACCTCAAGTTCAAAAACAAAAGAAACTCAAGTTCAAAAAGCCACAAACTCAAGTTCAAACACGACACAAACTCAAGTTCAACAAACACCACAAACTCAAGTTCAAACACAAAACAAACTCAAGTTCAAAAACACCACAAACAGGTTCAAACACAACACAATCTCAAGTTCAATAAACACCCAAACTCAAGTTCAAAAACACCACAAACTCAAGTTCAAAAAACCAACAAACTCAAGTTCAAAAACACAACAAAAACTTAAGTTCAAACACGACACAAACTCAAGTTCACCAAACAAGCAAATTTAAGTTCAACCAATACCCAATTCTCAAGTTTAACAACTTCCATAACCTCAAGTTCAAAAACACCACAAACTCAAGTTCAACCAACAACTGATTCTCAAGTTTAAAAATTTTCACAACCTCAAGTTCAAAAAACACACAAACTCAAGTTCAACAACCAACATGAGCTCAAGTTCAAACACGACACAAACTCAAGTTCAACCAACACACAAACTCAGGTTCAAACACACAACATACTGAAGTTCAAACACGACACAAACTCAAGTTCAAAAAACACACAAACTCAAGTTTAACAATCAACACGAACTCAAGTTCAAACACGACGCAAACTCAAGTTGAACAAAAATCACAAACTCAAGTTCAAACACAACACAAACTCAAGTTCAACAAACACACAAACTCAAGTTCAAAAACACCACAAACTCAAGTTCAACCAACAACTGATTCTCAAGTTTAAAAATTTTCACAACCTCAAGTTCAAAAAACACACAAACTCAAGTTCAACAACCAACATGAGCTCAAGTTCAAACACGACACAAACTCAAGTTCAACCAACACACAAACTCAGGTTCAAACACACCACAAACTCAAGTTCAACAAACAGACAAACTCAAGTTCAACCAACACCCAAATCTCAAGTTTATCAATTGCCACAACCTCAAGTTCAACAAACACACAAACACAAGTTCAAACACACAACAAACTCAAGTTCAAACGCGACACCATCCAAGTACAACAAACACACAAACTCAAGTTCAAACAATACACAATTCTCAAGTTTAACAAATTCCACACCCTCAAGATCAAAAA